AAAAAAAAAAAATTCTGCAAGTGTATTTTGAGCAAGTTCATTTTAAGGTTTATGAAAACTTAGTTAGAAAATTATTCCTTGATTAAGTGAAGAAATTCAAAAATATTTAAGTACCTAACTACAGGAATGGATTAATTTAGAAGAGAAACAGCTAAGTGAATATGGTTTTGTTAGTACAGAAAGCAAAATAAGTCAGTGATTGTAAGTCAGTGGCATCATTTTGATTTTTTTTTTCTTTTTTTCATTTTGATCTTAAGTAGGAATTGTCTGCAGAAATTTCATTTCATCCTGTTTATGTCCTTTTAAATCCTTGAAAAAAAAGTGTTAATCTCAAATTCATAAAAAAGTTAAAAGTTGTTTTTTTCTGAACCATTTGTAAGTTGATGTGATGCCCCATTGCCTCTGAGGACCTTCATGTGTGTAGTTGCTTTAAAGAAGGACATTCTCTTACGTAACTACAATCCAACCATTAAAATCAGAAAATTTACATTGACACTACCATTGAATCCTCAGACCTGTACTCTATTCGTATTGAACTGATCGCCCCAACAGTGTCCTTTGTAGCAGGAGAATCCAGTCAGAGTCATATTGTCCCTTTACATGTCAGGTGTCTAGAACAAGTTCTCATTTTTTCCTTGACCTCAACAACTTGGAACTTCAGTGTGTTACAAGCCAGTTTGTAAAACATCCCTTATTTCGAGTTTGTATGATACTTCTTCATGATTAGATTCAAGTTATATAGCTTTAGCAAAAATGTTGTAGACATCATGATTTGTTTTTAACTGTATACTGTTGTGGATCAATACTTTCAGTTTACCCTATTTGTGATGGTGTTAGTCATCATTGGTCAGGGTAATGTGTGCTAGACTGCTCCACTGTAAAGTTATTCTTTTTATGTTTATAATTATTTTGTAAGAATGTAGTTTCAAAATACTACCTTGTTTTTCATCAAAATTGCAAAAAATAAAAAATAAAAAGAGACAGAACCGGACTCAAACCTGGATCATCTCGTTCTGAGTCTGATTCAATTTTTTTGTTTTCTAGACAAGGTCTCAATGTTGCTCAGGCTGTGACAGCATTCAGGATTTTTTTTGTTTTTTTTTTTTTTGAGACAGAGCCTCAAGCTGTCCCCCTGGGTAGAGTGCTGTGGCATCACAGTTTTCTTTTGATAAGTGTGGTGTTCAATAAAGT